CATACGGCAGACTTTCATGAAACAAGCTCACATAGGTCGACTATTTGCACAACTCGCTCCAGCTCTGGCTACCGCTGCTACAGCTCGCCGACTGGAAGTACGGCGTGTCTCCTTGGGCGTCCGCGAGTGTCGGAGTTTTGAAAGTTCCCCCCAATTTTCTTTTTGACAATAGATTCGTTGAAAACCCCACGAAGACTATTGATTGATGATAATATATTATTGTGAAGTGTGAAAATGAAAAGGGCAAACTACTGATAAAAAAGGGCAAAGACTGGTGATTTACGTTAATACAATATTGTCGAGACTATTGTAGTGGCCCGTTGGGAGAGTTCACGAATAATACATTTTGTAATATAAATTCTCAAGTGGACGAGAAGCCAGAATAGAAATATTTTGAAGGAGTCCTTCCTTTCCATTCCTGTTCCGCTTCCCACTGTTCGTTGCGAAACTCCCAAAACTCTTACAGAAACTGCTCGAAGTCTATCATTATACTGCTCCCAGGGGTGCCGGAGCGGTATTAATTCCTTTCCGTTCCGAAGGCAAATGGTCACACCATCGTAGCGCCGTACCTTCTCTGAGCGTGAAGATCTTCTTCTCCTGACGCAGGTTTCGGTTGAAAGGGCCCCATATAGCTAGGCGAGGGATGATAATGGATGTATGGGACTCGGTAGCACGCAACCACAACACTCTGGAGGAGTTTGACAGACGCCATTTCGACGGCAAGAAAGCCCAGACCCGTTTCAACATACTACTCCGTGACCACAGCGACCGTAATGCTGCATTGCAGCCAGCGTCAGGCGTTGACGAGGAAGAGAGCGACAAGACTGTTTTCCTGGATGACCTGTGCGCTCAAGTTGACGACGCCAAGCAAGAGGAGGCACGCCGGGCGGCCATGGAGATAGAGGCAGGTGAATGGGCTGAAGAGTCGGTGGTAATTGTACGAGAGGAAGCAATGAAGTCCTTAGGGAAGCGAAAAACAAGAGAAGGTGACGAAGAAACAAGCGGTGGCAAAATGTTCAAGGTGTTGTCGCTTATGAACGAGGCCAACAAGGGTCAACTCGAGTTGCGAAAGTACATGTTTGAGAAGGAGATTGAAGAATGCCAAAAAGATTGCGAGGCGCAAACCAAGGAACTAGAAGGCCAAGCAAAGGAGCGCGAATCCCAACTACAATACATCCAAATGTTGCAGGCTTCAATAACTGCCATTGTGACTACATTGGTGAATAAACTTTAATTGATTCTTGGTTATATGTCCACAACTTCTACTGTATCGAGATATTCCTCAAGTGTTGGAGGGGCTTCATCGAATAATGGCTGATATGATTTCCCCCGAAATGACAACCACAATGACAATTCGTCAAAAACATAGCCACACAAACGAATTTCGCAACTGGTGATAGCATCAGCTTGGCCAAATTTTTGTATTGAATGTGGGGCCATAGTGTTTTTATGACTTTGAAGTTCCATATCACCGATTGAAGCACTCTGCTCATAGATTTGTTGAAGAGTTGCTTTTCTTTGGACAAGTTGATTCCCCGGTAGCCACTCATGACAAATTTTGAAACACCATACGCAGGATCAACATGTATGAATTTCGATGCAAAAATGTCTGGATGTTGTTCAAGTTCAGGCAACAAGCCGCTCATAGCAAGCGTAGCAGAATCATGACGTCGCCCCTCACAGGGCCCCAGAAGTGCACGCAGAGGTCATCAGGACTCGACATAGCTTGAAAATTCAAGCAAAGATATCGCTTGTGTCCGCTGAAAATGATTTTTTGCAGGTTTCGACCATCTCCCGTTGCAGCAATACGTGACGACTGAACTTTGGTCCCATCAATAAAGCCAAAGACACAGTCTTACGGTGATCCTTTCCATGCGATTGCAGCGCAGTAGCGAGTCATGCGAGAGCGAAGTAGTCCACGGTTCAAGAACACAATTGGGCCCCACCGATCATAAATGTCGTGAACCAATAGAGAAACACATCACACAGTTGCGCCCGAGAGCGACCAAACATCAAAGCCATGT